GCTCGAAATTCGCAGGGTAGGAGGGGGTAGTGACGCTGGGTGCAACTAAAAAGGTGCCATTGTCCGGTGAGGTCCGGTTGGGGAGTTACGGAACGATCTCATATCGCATTATCTTTTTAACTGTTTATCTCCTGAACGGCATCTTTCTTTACCACGCTATTCAGCGCCAATCCCGCCGTGCAGTCAGTCTCACTGGTTAAGGTTAGGGTCAGGTGGTGGGGTAGGTTTAGGGGTTCGCATTTTTTGTAGTTTAGTGTAGGAAATCAACACTTTAATTGACACAACCAATAAAATCTTTAGAATCAGCTGTGGGGGGAGTTTGCACTGAAGTGGATTGGGGGGAAAAATGTGCATGAGTGTCATGTGCCTGTCTGCCAATGGGAGGAAGCCACGCCCTATTTTGGAGCTCCCACCCCGTTTTGGAGATCTCCAGGCTGCAGTTATACCCTTCTCGCCTTTGTAGGCCCCCCAAACGCCGTTGTCATGTAAATGAACAACCAAAACGCATAAAAAATGTTTTGAAAAATGTCACTTTTTAGTTGAAAATGGTGTCATAAAAACGCACACCCTTAATTAGTTTGATCACTGCTATTAAATGGGGGGAAAAAACATGTTTTTGGAAGCTGTTTATGAGCTGTTGTTGATATACCTTGATGTGTGTGTCCGTCAGATGGGGACGGAGGAGCAGCAGGAGCGGATGCTGAGGCAGTGGATGGACTGCTGTGTTACGGAGGGCGGGGTTTTGGTGGCCATGCAGAAGAGCTCCAGGAGGCGGAACCACCCACTTGTCACTCAGATGGTGGAGAAGTGGCTGGACGGTTACCGGCAGCTTGCCGCTTGTCCAACTCTCTCCGACGGAGAGGAGGAAGAGGAGGACGAAGATGAGTGAAGAACAGTCGGCGTCACTTGACACTACAACACGACCCTCTTGCGTTCCCCAACATACGGAAACACACAAACACACACCTCTAACCCCGACCGAACGACAAACCCAAGCTTTCCTTTTTGGTTTTTGTCCCTAAACGACAAATAATTGGGGTTTGTTGCAAAATAAAGGAATGCAATCATGATTGTATTTGTCTTTACAGAGTATGTTCTTTGCTTTCGTTTGTGTTTTGTTTTTAATTTGCTGGTGCAATGCTTGTAGTGATTTAAGAAAAAGAGGAGGAATTTAAGCACCCTTTTTAAAATGTCTGACGCAGATGTCTATTTCTATTTGTGTAGCGTGACTCTAGACTAAGATTACTAAAACATAATTCACTACACGTTTGAAAATGAGCATTATCTATGAATCACACGTATGACTGTCACAATTGTTTTTTTTTTTTAATAAAGCTGTCGTTCCTCACCTGATCGTTACGGGGAGAACGCAAGTGGATATTTTAACTCGATTTCTAACAGATTTTCTGTATTTATCTGAATAATAGTGTGTGAGCCATAGAAATGAATGCTTTTCCACTCACATTGTCGTCTCTTGTCGTCCCATCTTTGAACTGCACTACAAACGTGAACGCTGCAAAGAAAAAGAGGCATGTGTCAGTTTACTGTGTCCGTCGGATGCCGTTTTTGAAAGGGAACATTATTTCAGCTCTTCTTCCAATGTGGTCCCTTCACACTTTCAGTTGTGTATTTGTGTGTGTCTGTTGTCTTTTGTGAAATGTCTGGCCACAGATTTTTCAGTGCACATTTTTCCACTCAGTTTCCAAACCTTGATGAAAAAGACTTGATGTAGACCAAAGTGAACATTACGAGAGATCTGTGGAGTGTTTTTGCAGTGCTAATATAACCGGTTAACTGGCTTTTTCCCCCCCTGTTCCCATCTCATCACCTCCTGTGGTTTTTATGTCCGGTCCTTCTCACATCCTCATGTTTTATTTTATTTTTTAAATTATGTGATAGTTCTGCTACACTATGGTATATTTGATATATAAGGTGGAGACCAAACTTGGTGATATTGAAGACCTAAGTGTTTTGAATGTCCAACTACGAAACTATTATAAAACTTCGAAACAAAACAAAAAGTGTGGTTTCCTACATACAAACTACACATGCTTATACGAGAAAAGCTCAGCTATTTGTTTTATGTAAGGATGTTGCACTAGCTTCATTGCTATACCCTGTATATTTGCTATATATTGTTTTAGACTACATTAACCTGATTATACTGAAAGACCAAACCAGGCATGCCAAAGCATTACAAGTCAAACAATGTGCTGCTAGAATCTCATGGAGAGTTGTTTAGCAACACAGAACCTGCTAAAACAATGCATGCATGCTTCATTAACTAGTGTACACTTTGTACAGGGTTTCTGCCACTTTTGAACATTTTGAACTTTTAAACATTTAAACTGTGGCTGTAATGAAAACTTGTCTTCATGACAGATTTATTCAGACATGATTTTTTAAAATTATTTACTTTTTTCTAGCTAACTAAAGAGTTAAGGACATTAAAGGGGTCATATGATGCTATTTTAAAGATCATTATTTGGTGTAACAGAATGTGTTGACATGCTTTAAAGTTCAAAACACATTATTTTTCAAATACTGTACATTATTGTAGGTCCTCTATGCCCCGCCTCTCTCAAATGCTTCGTTTTCTACAAAGCCCCCTCATTTGACAAGCGCAGTCTGCTCTGATTGGCCAGCTGACCCAGTGCATTGTGATTGGCCGAACACCACAAGCACGCGTCGGAAATGTAACGCCCCTTACCATAATCGCAGCTTCAGCTTTCATCAGTTCAAGCCCGGAAGGGCAACAGAGTCGCGTGACAGACACAGTGATGATGCAGTACACAAGCTGCGGTTAAGTCGTGCTATGATATCTGACAGGCAGTTCACTCTCCTGTGATGTGACCCTGTTCCCCTCTCACACACACACACACACACACACACACACACACACACA